TGAACCGGCCGAAATCACTGAACCGTTCAAACCGAACCGGCTGAAAACCGAAAAAATCGCCAATTTTGTTTTTTTTTAAATTAAACCAAACGACATCGTTTGTTAAACGAGCCAAGTCAAACTCGAGTATTGCTAAGCTCAACTCAAACTTGAAAACTTTAATAGTAAGCTCAACTCGACTCAAACTCACGAACTAAAAATTATCAAGTTCAACTCGAACTCGAAATATAATATTGAAACTTGAACTCGAAAAGGCTTGAACTCAAAAAAATTTAGAAGCTCGATTGAAGCCTAAAATTCGAGCTTGATTGAAGTGAAAGAATAGTTCACTCAATGCTCACCAAAAAGCTCTATGATTTTGAATGTCAAATTATCTCTATTATTTATAGAAGTTAGTTGGAATGCTCTTCTATGTTTGTTAGCCATGTGGGATTGTTTTGTTCTCATATTTTCTCTTTAGACTTTTGGGATGCTCTTCTATGTTTCTTAGCCATGTGGGATTATTTTAAAAAAAATTAAACCAAACAATATCATTTTGTTATGATTTTTTTAGCCCCAAATTTATTTTTTAATTATAGTTATATAATTATATTTATTATTTAATATGTTTTACCTTAATTATTATGTTGTAGTTAATTTGAATCATTTTGTTTCACTTAATTTTATGGTTTTTAACTTATATATGTTATGACTTGCTTTGAATATGACTTGTGATATAAAAAATTATTTTTTATTAAATATTTTTGGTATTTTTATTTAATTTTTTAAATAATTATGACGTCGTCTGGTTCTTCCGACCGATCAGACCGGTTCGACCGGTTGAATCAGTGAATCGATAGCATGATCGGTTCGTTAATCGGTCCGGTTCTGAAAACCATGGGTTTAATACATGGCCACTTAAGTTTCTTTATGAGTTGCCACACCATTTAATCTTCAATTCCACACGTTGTTTTGATGTCCATTATCCTTCATTAAGTTTCTAGACATGCCAACATCCACATGTTTGAATTTTAACACATTTTAAGATTTTAATAGTGGAGAGATATTTCTTGGGGTAGAGAGTTATAACTCTCCATTTAAAATTTATCTAGTAACAGACGATGAAGCTAAAAGAATAAGAAACCAAATCGTTTAATGATATATTTATGAAATTTGTTAGAAAAATTTGGGAATCGTTGTAGCATTGTGGCTTATTACATCCAGCGATGATTAGAATATGAAAATTTTGACATAAGAAAGAAAAACAAGTAAATTAAAGAGAGTCAACAACTGTTTTTATCATCGAAATTTTCGTGTATGTTGAGAGTTAAATAATTAAATTAAAAATAATGATTAAAATAATAGAATAAAATTAAATGATAAAGTTTACTCCTATAATTTACTCTTCTAAACAGTGTTCTCATGGATTTGCACGGCGGTTAGACTCAGACATCCAATTCCCGACATTTCTGAAGGACAAGAATTTATGTTAATCCAGCTTCTCTGGAATTTGAAAATTACTACTCTGAAGTCACATAACTTGTTTCTTGGCATTCGTTTCATCTTCAAATCTAATCCCCAAGCCCCAACAAAGCCAGTCCCGCTCCATGTCAGCTGTTTCCCAACCCACCATATCTCTGCCTACAGCCATCCCAACCCCCAGAATTCTTCTCAAAACCCTTTCTTCTCCCCTCTCCCTCACCCATTTCAAACAAGTCCACGCCCAAGTCCTCCGTTCACCCGTCCTCCCTCCCATTCCCTCGTCCTCAAACTCCTCCTCTCTTCCCCTTCCCTTCCCTACTCTCTCTCCATCTTTTCCCACCTCCCCAACCCTCTCCCTTCCCTTTCCACCCCCTTTCTGCGCCACCTCTCTCGCAGCTCCAAACCCCAATTTGCTCTCTTGGTATACCAAAGACTCAGGAATGAAGGGATACCGATTGACAGGTTCGCTTTTCCTCCGCTTTTAAAGGCTACCGCCAAGGTTGGAGGGTTGGCTGAAGGGAAAGAGATTCATGGCTTTGGCCTTAAGTCAGGTTTAGATTCAGACCCTTTTGTGCAGACGGGTCTTATGGGAATGTATGTAAGCTGTAGGAGACTCCTGGAGGCCCGGTTGGTGTTTGATAGAATGTCTTACCGAGATGTTGTTGCATGGAGTATTATGATAGAAGGGTATGCCCCCTTTTTTATGTTCCATTTACTTTAAGTAAAACTTGCTTCTGAACAACATCAAACAATAATTCATTTTGTTACTTTGTAATTTTGATGAAGACTATTGGCCCAAGGTTCTTACATGTAAAGTAAATAGTGATTTTGAGTACTTAAAGATGAATATTTTTTTATTAACTGTGAATGTTATGATTTTACTTCTTAAGTAAACTTATATTTGCTATTTTATTCGATTTTAATTGAATATGATATGATCTGGTGAGATATGGTAATGTGTTTTCTTTTACCTTTTCTTTTTGTTGTGTTTAACGACTTCTTTTGTTAACAGCTACTGTCAGAGTGAACTTTTTGATGATGCATTGGAACTTTTTGAGGAGATGAAGAGGGATAATGTTGAGGCCGATAAGTTTGTTCTTTCTAGTATTCTTTCTGCTTGTGGTCATTCCGGGAATCTGGATTATGGGAAAGCAATACATGACTACATTATTCAAAATGATCTTGTGGTTGATGCTCATTTAAGGTGTGCTCTTGTGACGATGTATACAAGTTGTGGTTGCATGGATATGGCTCAGCAATTGTATGACCAGATGATGCCCAAGAACATGATTGTTTCAACGGCTATGATATCTGGGTATTCAAGACATGGACGAGTCCTGGATGCTCGATTGATTTTTGATCAAATGGTAGAGAAGGACTTGGTGTGTTGGAGTGCAATGATATCTTGTTATGCTGAGAGTGATCATCCTCAAGAGGCTCTTAGATTGTTTAATGAACTGCAAACTCTAGGAATAAGACCTGATCAGGTGACCATGCTGGTGTTATATCGGCTTGTGCACATCTGGATGTACTAGATAAAGCTAAATGGATACATGTATATGTTGATAAGAATGGTTTTGGAGGAGCTTTGCCTATTAATAATGCTCTCATTGATATGTATGGCAGATGTGGGAGTTTGGAAAGAGCAAGAGATGTTTTTGAGAAAATGAGAAGCAGAAATGTGATATCTTGGACCAGTATGATCAATGCATTTGCTATGCATGGGGATGCAAATAACGCTTTAGGTTTCTTTCAGAAAATGAAAGAGGCCGGTGTTGAGCCAAATAGAGTTACCTTTGTGGGTGTGCTTTATGCTTGTAGCCATGCAGGGCTGGTTGAGGAGGGCCAAAAAATCTTCACAGACATGATTAATGAACACATGATCACTCCTACTCATGAACATTACGGTTGTATGGTTGACCTCTTTGGCCGTGCTAATCTCTTGAGAGAAGCTGTTGAGATTGTAGAGACAATGCCTTTTGCACCCAATGTTGTCATTTGGGGATCCCTCATGGCTGCTTGTCAAATTCATGGTGAGACCGAATTAGGAGAATTTGCTGCCAAAAGGCTAATTGAAATTGAGCCAGATCACCACGGAGCTCTTGTGCTACTATCAAATATTTATGCCAAAGAAAGAAAGTGGCAAGATGTTGGGGATTTGAGGCAGTTAATGAAAGAAAGAGGTATATCTAAGGAAAGGGGATGTAGTAGGATTGAATTGAACAATGAGGTGCACGAGTTTTTAGTGGCTGATAGGAATCACAAACAAGCAGACGAGATATATAAAAAGTTGGACGAGGTGGTTAATCGATTAAAGTTGGGTGGCTATGCTCCAAATATCGGTAGTGTATTGGTTGACTTAGAAGAGGAAGAAAAAAAGGAGGTGGTTCTATGGCATAGTGAGAAGTTAGCACTTTGTTATGGGCTCATAAATGGGGAAAAAGATTCATGCATTCGGATAGTCAAGAATCTTCGAGTTTGCGAGGACTGCCATACCTTTATGAAGTTAGCTTCGAAGGTGTACGGTAGGGTGATTGTTGTAAGGGATAGGACAAGGTTCCACCATTATAGAGATGGAGTTTGTTCTTGTAGAGATTATTGGTGATGTTCCCTGACCCTTTTTCTCTCCTGTTTGATCCCAAAGAGTGAAATTCTGTAGTGCTTAAGAATTGAATGTGATTGGCAAGTGTCTTGTTAGGAGTTGCTTGGAACGTGACTGCTAGTAAAAGAAGTTATTTTATATGAACCCTTTCTTTTCTTGTTCTGCTTGTTTGCTACCTCACAAATGTATAGATTTGTCCGAAGTATGATTTTATAACATCATTCTGCTAGCTTTCCTATCACTATCCATGCTTTACAGTTAATTGCATATTGAACAAAAGCAAACCGGGAACCATTCTTTGATTTCTTATTCGGAACAAAAACATAGACAACCTTCCCAAATTTCCCATAAAATTTCCATAGACGTTCTCCTTTCATATGAACACAGTTGAATGGAGGCAATAGTCATAGCTGAACAATCCCATTGCTCCAGCATCTTCAGCTTGGGTTTGGTGCAATCCTTTCCAAACGTAAGGCTATCACCCATTTGACATCCAAGGATTCGGAATGTGAAACTGGAAGTCGAGTTGGAGAACCGGTGCCTGCAACTGTTGGTTTCTAAGAACCCTTGGATTTATGACATGATCAGCAACAGCGATGAACAAGCTGATGACAATGATGATGAATATCCTTGTTTGAATGAGAATGATAATTTTGGAATTTTCGTTTATCTGTTTAGTCTGGTTATATCGTGATTCCATCAAGTATTCGCATCTCTAATGTTCTCAAATATCAAATCATGCATGAATTCGTTTTCTCCAAATTCTCTACGGCAAAAGAAACAGTTTAATCAAGTTGCAAAATTGATTATAGAAATGAGCAAGGAAACAATCAGTTGCAGATACATTGAACATGAATTCCGAGAAGATTTAACTAAATTTCAAGTGAAGCCATGAAAGGGTAATCTAAGCCACTGCGACTACTAGTTCCAAACACTAAGATGACAGAGACAACCTAAGTGGTAAGCTCCATAATAGCAATCACAATGTCACCATTGTTACTCTTGAGAGCCTTGACAGCTTTGGCCCTTGAAACCCCAGCCTGTGTCATGACTAAATCAATGTCCCTAGGATCTACACCAGTCTCATCAACCTCTTCTTCCTCATCAGCCGGTGCTCCAGCAGCCGTAGAAGAACTGTGTGGTTTTGCCGTCAAAGAGCCCGTGTCTGGCACCCTGACTTGCTGGGCAGCTTGTGTCTGTAGCTGAGAGCTCAAATCCTCTATCTTAGCCTCACCAAAAATGACATAGGTCTCGGAATTTGGACTCTTGAAGACATCGGGTTTCGAGATGAAAACAGCACCTGAACCCAAGAGAAACTAGGTTATATTACCAATCATCAAGTAGCTCCAGTATTTGAACTCAAAAGAAAATCATGGAAATCATACATTTTTGGTTCTCTTTATGGTGACCCTGCTTACACCAGTAAATGGCTTCGTGCCTGGCTTTAACATGGCCTTTCGACTCTTCTTCTCACTCCTGCTTTGCTTGGAACTTCCATTAGCACCTGCAACAATATTCGAAGCAAACTATAAGGGCTGCATAGAAATATCCATACAAATAACACCAGTTTATATAGAAATGATGACACTCACTGCCACTAACAAATCAGTTATCTACAAAATAGAGCAATGAAAGAAATTGTATGCAAACAAGGTTGCAAGAACCATAAAACTTAATCTAATTCTCCAGACTCTGAGTAGCAAGTTTAAGCCATGCAGGAGGTCGTTGGATAAAATCGGATTCTCGAGGAGTTGCTAGTTGGGAAACATTAAGCATAAATCAACAGATAAAAGGACAGTATTTTAACCATGCAATTTTAGAAAGAGTCATACATTTTACATAACTTTCTTTCATAAGGAATTCACTCAAACTGAAGATCTAAGCATATATACAGAACAAAATCCAAAAACTTTAAGCAATTTTCCCACTAATTCGTATTTGAAATAACGCTAGTGACATAACTTTTCCCGCGGGATCCCTTAGTCTTAAAAAATTTATTTTCCGGGAAAGAGATGAAATATGATTTGGAAAACGGTTTGATTTTAGAGTCGCCACCAACCTTTAAGTTAGGTAGGTTGGAAACCTGGAACGAAAAAAAATGGTATACTTTTTACCAAAGATTTTTTTAAAGAGTTCAGGGTCGATTACGTGTGGGAAAGGGTTAGCACTCTCACAACGCCCAAATTTTGATACCTAAATGATTATATATTTTTTAAATATCGGGAATTACAAACTCGAAAATATATTTAAATTACGATCCTTTATTCATTTGACTTTATTTAAAAATTGTGAACAATCTTCGTGAACGCAATTCCTTTGTAGTTAGGAGACTTTCCCATAGATTCCCCTCGCAAAAACGTTATTTCGCAAATTTTGCCAAGATAAAATAAAGTACAATAAAATAAAACAAAACAAAAATTAAAAGCGATGAAAAATACTCGAAATAAATAAACGTGAAACAAATAAAATTATCGAATATAAAACAACATTTATGCGAAAAATCCTCGTAAAAGCACATATTTTATGGTTGGGAGATGACCTCGTTGATTTCCCTCACATTGAAACTTTTTTCATTTTCGTTTATTAAACAATGATGAGTTATAAAAAAACACAGTGAAAATAAAATTTCATGCAAAGAATGCTTTCAACAACTACATAATTTATATACAAACATGCATAAAATTATAATGATCAATAAAAACAAAGATATACATTTGTACTAAAATACATTTACAAACATGACAGGATAAAATATAAATAAAAAATAGACATGCTTAGTAAAATAAAGGACTAAATAGAAAAAACAAAAATTGAAAGGACTAAAATAACAAAACCCAAAACTTAAGGGATTAAAATAGCATAAACAAAAATTTAAGGGACTAAAACACAAATAAAATAAACTAGATTCCCAAAATAAAAAAAAATAATACATGTATTAAAAATGAAAATAACCCCTAAACAATATTAAGGACTAAAATAAAATAACCAAAAATATGGAGGACTAAACAATAATTAAACCTATGTAACACAGTGTGTAACATCCCAATCAGCAGGTCAGTGACCAACATGTAAGAACTCAAAACTTTGTGGTTTAATTAGAATAATTTAAAAATTCAAGGACTTATTGTGGAAATTATTGTTTAGGATATGATATCAAATTTTGGATTGTGGAGGGGCAATATGGTCTTTCTTCCATAAAAGATTTTATCTCATGTTTCTTTTAAGGGACAAACACGTGTATGTGGGGAAAAAAATCTAGACCTTTGCTTGTCTTCTTCCTCTGCCGTGAACTCTACTCCCTAAAGGCAAGATTTTGAAATTTGTTGTTTTCCTTAAATTTTGGGTTGGTATTGGAAGCTTGGGTGTTATATAAGCTTAAGGAAAATTTATGAAAGACTAAAACAACAAGAAAAGTAAATTAAAGATGAAATTGTAAAATGAGTTTAGAAATGAAATTTTGATATGAAGTAGCTTTTGAAGTTTAATAAGATATTTGACTTGTCAATGATTTAACTTAAGAGTTAGGAGTGTTAGAATTGGTTAAGAACATGTTTGAAATTTTGGTATGATTTTGAGATTTAAGTGTTCAAACGGGATTTTGGATAATTAGGAGTAATATAGGAAGCCAAGTTAGTATAGATGTATAAGGGTGAATTTTAAGTTTTAATGTGGGATAAAAATAAGTGATTTAGGTAAATTTTGAGTGATTTTCGAAGTAAAAATGGTTATTCTGGGCATCGAGTATCGGTACCGTTAGAACAATACCGATACTTCAAGGGATAATTTGTGTATTTCTTAAAGGTAGTATCGATACCAGTTGAAGAGGGTATGATACTGTGAGGGTAGTATCGATACCATGAGGATGGTATCGATACCATTTTTAGATACGATTACAGAATGCCAAATCAGTATCGGTGCCTTAAGGAGGTATGGATACCCTTAAAGGAAAGTACCGATACTGTATGGGTAGTACCGATACTTCTATGCATGAAAGGGAAATTGAGAGTTTCTTGCATCACAAGTTATTCTGATTAGATATAAATGATTTGAAGAACGATATTGATTTTCGATTGTTTCGTATAGTGATTGAACGTAATCGACTTTCGGTCAGCTCGACATATTAAGTACCAATTCGAAGGGGTTAAGGATTTTGGCTTAGAATTTCAGTGAGGCAAAGGTCAGTGCAACTTCTCGGTTTTGTAACATAATTGATGAAGGCTTGCGATAAGCCAACCTCAGTGTTTTCGATCGAAAACTTTATAATTTCTTTATTGTTATATTGCAATGTTTTATTCAATTATTATACAAGCTATGTTTTATGATTATATGATGATGGAAATGTGAACTTTGAACAAGTGAATGTGAAAATACTCTATGAGAGAGATATTATGTGAATAAGAAACACTTCGAATAATGATTGAACATAATTATGTGATTAATCGCCTAAAGTATATGTATGAGGATTAGAGGTATAGTTGGCATGCCAAGAGTCGAGGTTTTATGTGGTCTTTCGGGTAAATTATGTGGTCCTTCGGGACAAATATGTGGCACTTTGGTGCAACCTATGTGGCACATCGGTGCAAACCTATGTGTCCGTCGGACAATTATGTGGCACTTCGGTACAAATTACGAGCTGTGGTGACAACATTAGTGCACAACCTCATTGTACTGAAATACCTAGAGTTCTCAGTAGTATACATTGGCCATTTGAAACAAAGCTATACAAAGAGAATAACACCTAAGTATATTGTTTAGAGATGGAAAAAAATAAGTTGAAATGCTTTATGAAATGCTTTGATAAAAACCAATAAAAGTTTCGTTTAATAAGTTAGCACTTCTAGTATTTGCCTCACTAAGTCATCGACTTAGCATGTGATTTCCTCATGCGTAGGTTTGAAGAAAGCATAAGAGTGAAGCTTAGTGTGGATAGCGTACACCTTTGAAGATCAGATCAGAACAAATTAAATGTAGGTGTTTTGTAATATTGTAACTGTGGGCATGTATTAAGCGTTTAATTTGGAAATGCTCTGATCGATTTTGTAAACTCACATATTTTGTATTTCTGTATAATATCAAAGGTTTATGTAAATATGAAAGCGAAATGATTTTCTTATTTAAATTAAGGTTTATATTTTGTATTTTGATCGAAAATTTTAAATTGTTCATAATTGTTAATTATATGTGTTTTGAAAAGTCAACGTGACACCTCAGATTCGTATCCGGGTCGGAAACAGGTTAGGGTTGTTACATTTAATGGTATCAGAGCTATGGTTTAATTGGTTTTAAGTTCGAAAAAAGTCATTTTTGTTTAAAAAAGTGTACATGTCAACTTTTAATAAAGTTTTTCTAATATGATAAGGTGATCAGTATGTTATCCTTGCTAATACCTTTAGTAAATTGATCTTAATAGATGTCGAACTTTGAAGGTTCCCGAAGTGATATGGGAGATAGGATGGAAGAGAGTAGTAACTCACCTGCCTCGAGCAGGTAGGGTGAGGAGCATGCACAACAGGGAGTGTTTGTACAAAATCAGGGGACCTTCTTCCAGACGTTGGACGCGATTCTGACGCGTTTCCAATCGTTGCCCCCTCAGCCCCTAAGATGAATGTCCCTAAGGAGCTGAGAAGTCTAGGAGAAGCTGAAAAAGGTCCGGTTTCCGTCGATATATGGCTTCATGACTTGAAGATAATGCTAAAGATCTCCATTGTTCTGAAATGAGAAATTGGATTGTGTAGTTTCATTATTAAGAGGACAAGCCAGAATTTGGTGGTCTAATGTGACGATGAGAGTTGCAAGAGAGCATGTAACGTGGTTATTCTTTCTGGAAGAGTTTAAGAACAAATACATAGGGGATCAGTTCATCAGACAGATGAAGCAAGAATTTATGAGTTTAAAGCAAGGGAATCGCAAGGTGTATGAGTTAGAGTGTGAATTCAACAAGTTGAGTCGATTTGCTGCCGAGTTGGTTCCTACAGAGAATGACTACTATGATTGGTTTATGGAGGGTTTACGCCCCTGACTAAAAGAGTAATTGTTGGCGCTTAACCACTCTTCCTTCTAAGAGGTAGTGAACCGAGCTAAAGCTTTGGAGCAAGCTCAAAATAAAAATTTTACAGAGCAAATGACGCAATGGAATAAGAGATCGGGTGCGTTGTCCAATGTTTCCCAATCAAAGAAGAGTAGAGGTTCGAGTTCTCGACCTCAGACTAGAGAAAAATCTGCAGTATCATCATGGAGAGGATCAAATCCGGGAAGAGCAAGACAAACTTATCCGGTGGAATCCAGAGTGGACAAGCCAAAATAATGTCAGCATTATGGGAAAAACCATAATGGAGTTTGTCGAAGGGTTTTCGGAGCTTGTTTTAACTGTGGAGAGGCAGGGCATTTTATTTGAGATTTCCCATTAATGACGGGAGAGCCTGCCCAAACAGAGAGATCCATGGTTGCACCGATGAGAGGTAGAGGTCGAGGAAGAGGAATGAATCAATCTGAGTATATCGCTCAACCTGAAGTACGCTCTACCGCTCGGGTATACAACCTGAAGATTGTGATAATCCTGAAATCATTACAGGTACTTTTCATATAACTAGTAAATTTGTTTTAGTTTTGATTGATCCGGGATCAAATTATTCATATGTTAGTAGTAAACTGGTCAAAGACTTGAGAATTTCGTTAGAACCTATTCGTAGTGAAGTAATTGTGATGAATCTGTTAGGACATAGTGCTCGGGTGAGATAAATCTCTCGAGAGTGTCCCATATGGTTTCAGGGAATTGA